GCAATCTTAAAATAACAAACGAAGTTACAGACGACTAACTGGTGAAGAAATCAATTAAAATAATGTGGTTTGCTGTAGTACAATTTTCTTATAAGCTTGTGCCATCAGTCACCAGATGGGCTAGTTTTTTTTTGTTTTGATTTGAACAAAGAGGATTTTGTGTTCAATGATCTTTGAGAGTGTGCAAAGAGTATACCATTTTGTCATTTTTAATGCATTTTAGCTTTGAGTAGAGTGAAAGAGATAGAACCAAAACATTCTAGTACATTTAGTGTTGCCATGTGGTTCAATCCAGTATTAGTATTGCCATGTGGTACACTGAAAAATTGCAATAGCAGGTTAGTCACCAAAATTTTCGAGCCGCTCCGTCTGTCACTTCGTTTGTGCTTAAAATGCTTTTATTTTGCAATGGAAGCATTTTATTTTAATCTGGTTAATGCTACTAACTTAAGGACTACTCAATAGACGTTATATTATAATATAGCAAAAGTAATTTCTTTTCTGATTTTTAGTTTTTTTTCTTTATTATAGAAATTTTTAGCCATATGGCTAGTTCATCTCTTAGATTTTAAGGTGTATACATAGATTTTCAGGTTTTCTACCACTGTAGCAGCAACCAGAATTATATAAAATGCTCCATTTGCAAAATAAAACCATCTTAAGATTGCATTCGTATACCTCCCCGTGGAAATTTTTGAAACCATCATCACTTTCATAGTTCTTCTATTCTCCACGAGTGTCATACTTTGATTTGCCAATCACATTGCAAAAAATCATGTGTGGGACACATAAAAATAATCATTGAATTTTTATTATTTAGTGTAGTAAAAATAACCATAACGACGTGTTCGGGGTATCATCCAAACCATTTGTGGGGTATTTTACCCATCCGGGATACAGCTCGTTTAGGCCGTTCGCAATGCTGTTGTATTTTATAAGGATTGTTTCAATTTGAAACTAGAACAGAAACGCACCTCTCGCAATGCTGAGTTGCAGTTTCATTATTCGAGCACTATTTTGCACCAGATTTGCAACTGCTCGACTATTCTGTTTTATTTCTGAGCGAGTTTGAAACACGAATGGAACTCTGTTTCAAATTTCTTTGTATGTATTTAAAGATGTTTCGAAGAGCTTCACAAACAACTCTATGAACTTCATAGAAAACAGTAAAGTTTATGGAACTTGATGATTACAAACATCTTTTAGAACTGTGCGTTGCGCTGATCGTTTTGCAGTTTTATTTTTGACAGTTTCAAATTATAGAATTGTCGAGGAGTTATCAGTGATATAGAAATTCTGAATTATATGTCGGTTATCGGTTTATCGGTATTTCTGGCAACGCTGCTGTTCACTCGTCAAAATACAAAACTACCCAAATTTGGGCAGAATCCACTCAGATCGGTAAAAACTGAACCTATCCAAAAATGGGTAAACTATGTTGGGAGTGACAAGTTGACAAATGAACAACGTTGATCGGATTCATGCCAATGTTGTTCATTTGTCAACTTACCACTCCCAACACAGTTTTCCCATTTTTGGGTAGGTTCAGTTTTGACCGATCAGGGTGGTTTTTACCCAAATTTGGGTAGTTTTGAAATAGCGTGTATCCTGTCTCTTCTGCTCGGTAAAATTTTCATCAAATTGTTTTTGTTTTGAATTTTCACTTGATTTTATTTGCGATTGTCATCAATGACAGCAAAGGCAGGCCTCTCAAATCATTTTGTAAACGTTCGTATGGTTTGCAGACACCGCAGACACTGCTTCTTGAGGTAAATTTTAAATTTAAATTAGAAACGTAATTATGTCGCTCGCCGATGAACTTCTGGCCGACCTGGAGGATGATAACGATGAAACCGAGGAACTGCTGGAAACCGTTAAGCAGGAAGCGCCTGACGAGGTCATAGAAGATCTCGCTTTATCCGGCGGTGAAGAGGAAGCGATTATTATGGATGTGAAGGATGAACCGATGGAGGTGGACGTAAAGGTTGCATCGATCCGAGAGATCTGCAAACTACGTGATTCCGCACGACTGTCTAATGTGCTGTCGCAAATAGCAATGTTTGTCAAGAATCCCCGCAAAACATCCGAAATGATTGGAAATGTAGAATCCGATCCCGAGTATCAGCTGATCGTGGAAGCAAACAACATTGCAGTGGATGTCGATAGCGAAATTTGTAAGTAATGCAGAATAATATAACAGTAGCAAAATAAGATGTCATTAAAAATGTTCTTCTATAGCAATAATTTACAAATTTGTGAAGGATAAATATCAGAAGCGCTTCCCAGAATTGGACTCGCTAATCATGGTGGAAATGGATTACGTACGTAGCGTTAAAGAGTTGGGCAATGATCTGGATCAAGCAAAGAATAATGAACGACTGCAGGAGATATTGACTCAGGCAACCATTATGATCGTTTCGGTAACTGCTTCGACTACCCAGGGGTAATGTTTTATTTGTGTTCCAAAGTAGCAGTAATTTCTCTAGCTTTTAAACGTTTTGCAGAACACGTCTTGAACAGCACGAGCTGCAGCAAATTTACGAAGCCTGTGATATGGCAATAGAGCTGAACGATTTCAAAACAAAAATCTTCGAATATGTTGAAAGCAGAATGACATTCATTGCGCCTAATTTGTCCATGATAGTAGGAGCATCTACTGCTGCTAAGCTGGTAGGACTTGCTGGAGGTCTGACCAGGTTATCGAAAATGCCAGCGTGTAATGTTCTTGTCTTGGGAGCTCAGAAAAAAACTTTATCAGGGTAAGAACCTTGGGTCATTATTATAATTACAGAAACAAATATTAATCAACTCGTTCTAATTTTATTAGCTTCTCCAAGGTAGCAATGTTGCCTCACACTGGATATGTTTATTACTCGGATATCGTCCAGGAAACACCACCCGATATGCGTAGAAAAGCAGCCCGTCTGGTGGCTTCGAAAAGCACTTTGGCCGCTCGTGTGGACGCTTGCCACGAAAGTCATCTGGGGGAGATTGGTCAAAGATTTCGTGAAGATATAGAAAAAAAGCTGGACAAACTGCAAGAACCTCCACCGGTTAAATTTATCAAGCCTCTGCCCAAACCAATCGAAGGCGGTAAGAAGAAGCGTGGCGGAAAACGTGTGCGTAAGATGAAGGAGCGTTACGCCATCACCGAGTTCCGAAAGCAAGCCAATCGAATGAACTTCGGCGATGTAAGTTAACCGGTTACAATATGCTATATAACTTTTCAATCAATAGTTTCAATATTCCTTCAGATCGACGAAGATGCTTACCAGGAAGATTTGGGCTATACGCGTGGTACCATTGGCAAAACAGGTACAGGTAGAATACGGCTACCACAGATCGACGAGAAAACTAAGGTTCGAATTAGCAAAACGCTACAGAAAAATCTTCAGAAACAACAACAGGTGTGGGGAGGAAGTACTACGGTGAAGAAACAAGTTTCCGGAACAGCATCCAGTGTGGCATTCACACCGCTGCAAGGATTAGAAATTGTTAACCCTCAGGCGGCGGAGAAACCTGCTAGTGAAAGTACGGCTAAATATTTCTCCAACACATCTGGTTTTCTTTCGGTGGGCAAGAGAACGACGTAGATGAATCAACTTTTCTTTCAATACTATTGCTACTATGTATTGATGTGTAATTGAATTAATGTTTCCTTTAATAAAAATAATATTTTGACTATTTTTTTTGTCGGACAGAAATTGAAAAGAATTGCATAGCAATGGTAAATTATGTTCTATATATAATGATTCAAAATATTTTCAGTGGGATTGTTCGTATAAGCAGGGATCCGTGTTGGTTTGCTCTATCATGATGGTTTGATTGTAAGTTAAGTAAAATGGCCATCCGGATCATTGACGCTGAATTGTCGTTTTACTGAAAATGATAAAAAGTTTAGATAGGAAGATCAGCGATTATGTCTTATTCAATATCTCACCAGATTTCCGAGCAAGGTTCTCATTCAAAATCTCGATGAACGTTGGCGTCAGATTACCCTCTCCGTCGCACATGGTTACACGTTTGTCACCTTTCCGAATGCTTCCAGTTGGCTTTAGAATAGATGTCATCTGCTTCGGTGAGGGTATTGGTGAACTTCGTATGGACACTATAATTGTCGCAATAGTTTTTTTGTAAATATATTCGAAAAGAATATCGAACACTACAATGACGTGAAAAAGCTATGAAGTTTATGTGTTAGTTTTGGTCATACATGTATTAGTAAATCACAATGACGAATTCTATTCACACTAATTCCACATCATTAGTAGTAGATTATTAGGAAATATAAGAAAAAGCTTTCTCACCTAGTTTTCAACCTTCAACGCCTGTACGATCCGGGTTGAACCTGTGCGATGGAAAGTAATTCACAGCAATTCACAACTCAAATTACTTACCATACCATAGGCCCATATTATTTAAGTCGAGTCGAGCATCACTTCTGGTCAATGGTCTATTTCAGAATTATAGAAGTAATACCAAATTGGACCAGTGACCAGAAGTGACGCACGACTCAAATTACGTAATAGGGCCCATAGCAGCAGATAGTTGTTCGGTTAGGTGCCGATTCAAAATCAAACCTTTAGTAGCAAAAGTGTGCAGAAAATCATTAAATTTGTCAACTGTGATCTCAATAAAATAACACAAACATATCATGTTCGACTGCATCGTAAATATGTATAATTCTGGTTCATTAGCTATACACCACTATGTTACGGTATTACTCTATGCGGCTGGTTTTAGAATCGAGGACCAAATCTGATTTCGTCACTATAATGGCATCTGGATGAAGGATGGAGGATGTTTAGGGCCTAGACTAAAAAAAGTACGAAAAAATCCTCTGGATTTCCGATTGTTTGTGCTGATGAAATTTTAATATTTTCTAAACTTCCGATATTATTTTAGGTACTTTTTCAATTGAGTTTTTCTATTTTTTTTTTCAATTGGCATAGTATGTATATATTTGAAATAAGGGTCAAGGCGACACCATGCCATGCTTTGCTAAAAGGAAGTTCTAGAGTTATAGAAATCAATAGCTTTCATAACTTTCTTCGATAATTTTCTATTTGTCGCGCTGTCGATCGTCTATTGAAGTGAATAAATTTTTACTAACAAAATGAGAAGAACAAAACAGAATTACACCTATAGTTTTGTATCATCCACGTTTGATGGGTGGTGCGGCATGATAATAACACTGGAAAGAGACTCGTCGTGCAAGCTGTGAGACCTTAGCTGAGAACGTTGCTGAAATGAATCTTCGCTACTAGCGGCAGGCGGGTGATCGAGTAAATTGGGGTTAGTGAAGTTATAGCTAAGCCTCGGCGGTGAACCAATTTCCGAGCTCTCACGGATTGGTGCTAGGTACTGAGAAAACATCTCACCAGTGGGGCTGGGACGCTCGCTGCCCGCTACGTCTTCAAATGCATCCTCATTCAGGGTTTGCAAGGCACCGCATATCATTTGTTCTTCCAATGTCACCTGTAATGCAGTAGTTTGGAAGAGCTGTATTAGTATACGCGAACTACATATTTCGATGACGAAAAGTGACTATCCTTATTCTAAGCGTACCGGACACATTTTGAAGGAACTTGTTAAAAGAGTGCGATAAGTGAAACAACATTGAACTAGTACCACGAGAATGAGGATAATAGCTACCTCGTCATCAAATACTGCTGTATTGCGTGAGTAATTGTAAATTGTAATATTGATAGCAAAGAACACACATAGAATCAAACGGAATACAAGAGTGGATTTTTTTTTGCATGAGACCGTATCATGCTGTAAGAAATCGTATGGAATTCATTTTTTTAAACATCTACACGATTTATAACTGCATTGATTATTTCTTGGCCCAATTCTGCTTGTCTAAAGAGCAAAATATAACATAAAAATCATAGACATTTTGAATTTACTTGAAAATCTATAGATTGGTATTAGTTTACTTGCAAATACCAAAATGAAAATAAAACGATACCATAATATACTACCAGTTTATCGGGCGAAATTAAGTAATGGCACTGAATTTAAGCAAATTACGATATCAGCTTAGATCTAGCATTTCTAGTATTGTTACTCCGAATTTCATGTTTGTGATACAGTGCTTTCTCGATCTTGGCAGCCCCTGTGCGTATCAGTCTTTTTTTCTTCAACTAATTCCACATAAATTTGTTCATGCATACTGTGGTATAATAAAACCACCGACAAGGTGCAAGGGCTATGCAAATGAGTAGAATAAAGTGGGCTCAAACTCAAAGCTGACTCCATGCTATTCGCACAAAGACAAATGTTAACATCATGGTGCTGTGTATTATTATCAATGTTATCCTTAATCGGATACATGAGAAAATCTACGACAGCAGGCAAGATTCAGTGCCGGAAGACCTTGTTGAAGAACCGTATTGTCACGCATCGTATCATCCTGGTGCAGATTAACGAGTTCTAATAGTCCCTGTATTTGGTATTCATTGTGGGTCACCCTGAGACGCTAAGAAGTCCCGGATAAAAAGGTCAACCTCAACGAATCGCAATAGGAGGCTTTCACGTACACCCGAGCGTACACCTGTAAAATTGAGCGTTGGAGGATGGAGAATAACCGCTAGTGTTCCTCATCGTATTCGTAGCTGCAATTGACCGTGTACCGAACCGTGGGCTGATTTTATTTTACCCTTTCCGAGTTCCATGAAACTTCGCATTATAATTATTGTTCACTAGGAGCAATGAACCAACGGGTGGAAACTGACGATTTTAAATTGGCTCACTACTTGACTAGCCTATTGGTCCCAAGTAAATTGATTAACGTACCCCATTCTAGTACTACAATATGTTTGTTTTGATTCGCTATGAAAGTTTGACAGATAAAATGAGTATGGTTCGTGGATTTTCCTATTTTTCGAGGGGTGCATCGATTAACTTGGGACCGAAGAGAGTACACTGAAGTTTTTACACGGTTAGTGCAGCAGAGTCGCGATGTACACGGTACGTTTTTAACGATTTCTCGACAACGATACAACCTATCGATTTGATTTCAATCACATTATCCGTTTCAAGCTAATCGGTAATCGGTTCAAGGTAATCGAATGGCATACTTTAAAAAAAAATCACAATTTTTGGTGCAAATACAGATTTTTTTTAAACATGTCTAAATGGACCATAGCATGCTATAATTACGAATGGAATCAAAATCCGATTTTTTTTAAATATTTAAACATGTGAAAAATAAAAATCTCAGTACGTTTTTTTACACGATTTTTTTACACGGTACATATCCCCCGTGTAAAAAAAAACCTGGGTGTACCAGAGCTGAGCCAAAAAGTTGAGCACGTTTCTTCGGGACCTTCTGGTATTAGAGTTACCTCTATGAATGAACCAAGTATGTGCTGTAATTCAACCATTTTGACTCTCGCCTATTTTTTTTAAAGAATGGCGTATTGAATATTTTTAAATAAATCGAAGCCGGGGATTACTTTTTTTCGGAAAAGTTTGGGCCGAAGGTTCTCAGAATGCTACACTGAGACAAAGGAACGTAAGAATTTCATAAGAATCACTTATGAATTTTCGACGAAAGGATTTCTTATGGAGTTAAAGTTTCATGGAATTCTGAGAGGTAACATCAGAAATTCATTTTTCTCTATTTGGCGTCGCTCTACAGAGCATCTCAATTACTTCGGTTTGGCTGATGACGTTGCTTTACTACAGAGATAAAAATATTTTGTAAATTTCAACTACCAACTGGAGCAGGTTATTTAATATAAAATTATACGTTTAACTATTTGAAACTCGCTGAATTAAAGTTGAAATGTACACGTTCATGTAAATTTATATCATAGAGGTAACTCTAAAACTAGTAGGTCCCGAAGAAACGTGCTCTACTTTTTGGCTCAGCTCTGGTACTATCTTTGGTCCCAAGTTAATCGATGCACCCCTCGAAACATAGGAAAATCCACGAACCCCTCATTTTATCTGTCAAACTTTCATAGCAAATCAAAACAAACATTGTGTAGTACTAGAAATTCGACTAGAATGGGGTACGTTCGAGGGGGACGACTCTATCTACGATGCAGAAAATATTGTGCTATGCTGTGGCTAGCTGCGCGCACGCTGAGTAGATAGAAAGAAGATTGATGACGATTCTGAAGATTTCCTGCAAAAAGATGATGCTCGATGCAAGTAGATGCAACAAATGAAAGAAGATTTTTCGAAGATTGATTCGCTAGTGTGAGATTTGTTGAGCATCTTAACTTGAGATTTAGATGTGTTGCCCCCCTCGGGTACGTTAATCGATTTGCTTGGGACTAATAGGCTAGTCAAGTAGTGAGCCAATTTAAAATCGTTAGTTTCCACCGGTTGTTTATATCGCTGTTCGTTGAAATTTAAATCAATTTCAATTGAGCTTTTGATATCCATGTAAAAACACATAAGCATGTAAAATGCAATGCAAATGAATGTATTATTAAATACTTTCATGTAAATTTATTTTTTTTTTCGAATTTGTGATCAATTTTTTTCCACCACAGGATTTAAAGGTTTTTTTTTTAATGTGTGTGGTTTGATCAATTTTCAATAGTTAACTAATGATACATTTTTATTATCTTCATACAAAACAAATCGAGGGGCACGCACTAGTCTTACAATACTACGCAGCCTGCTGACAAAATATTTAAAATCTTGCCATTACTACATTAAATACTTTAAATTCACCCTTAATTTCAATAAATACTTTAATTACTCACTATCTTTTATATTTAAATTATTTTCAATATAGTTAAACTATTTGTCATTATATAAATTATCGTTAATTATTTGTTGATTACTTTCAATGCCGCTTAAAGTATTTAAATTCAAATTATTAAATTATTACTGTCTTCAAGGTATTTAAACTACAACGATGTATTTTTTTTTTTTTATTATTATTGTAGTCACTTTAACGCTCTTGGGTCATTCGTGACTTGTCCGGGGGTGATAATTGAATTCGTGACTTTGGCGTGAGAGGTATGGATGCTTACCATTACGCCGGAGTCGCCACGCCCTTCCAGATATAATATCACGCACTTATATCTGGAAGGGCGCGCCCCTCGAAACAAATCTTTTATCAAATCTGAATCAAATTGGGTAGATAGAAATAAAATCGGTCTATAAACGGCCATGTTTGAGCGTTTAAAACCTGACATTATTTCGTCATACCATTTTTTGATTTGCACCCCAGTATATTCCACAAATACGTAGTCCTACGTAGATACTGTATACGGGAACCTTAAATTATTTCAAATTAAGGTGTATTTTGTTGTTGTTGATTATGTAGTAGGAATTGTTGTTTATTGTTTTATTGTTGTTTTACATCAACAGGCTGAATGAAGCCCCAATGATGTTAACCTTATCAACTATAGTAAAAAAAAATACATTCAAGCATGGTCATAATATAAAAAAAAACATTAAAAATATCTTATAGTCAGTTACTCCTGCCGGCGAAAAACAGAAGAAAACTTTCGACGAAGCGCATCACGGGAGAGATGAAAGTCGAAAACAAATGCAACTCTGTATATTCTCTGCAGTCCGCAAATCGCACCATATGCTCCATAATTTGTGCGACGTAGAGGCAGTCTTAGCATAAGGTTGAACATTAAGGTTAATTTACCTCAGGATAGCCTCGCAATCTGTCCTTCCTTGCAGGATATCGGCCACGGTTAGGGCTCTGCTTGTATCTCTTCTAGTCCGGAGAAGTTCTAGGTCGATAAGTTGACAACGGCTTTCGTAACTAGGTAAACGAAACGGATCATTCCAAGGCAATCTACGTAACGCAAAACGAAGAAAGCGACGTTGCACAGATTCAATTCTCTCGGCACCGTTGTTGTAGTTTGGGTTCCAAACCGCTGAACAATACTCAAGCGTCGATTGAACAACCGAACAATAGAGAGATTTTAGACAGTAGATATCAGTGAAGTTTTTAGGTATCCTAAAAATGAACCCTAAAGTTCTTGACGCCTTATCGACAACATATGCAATGTGTTGCTTGAATGAAAGCTGCGATTCCAAGATCACACCCAAGTCTTTCACCTGATTCACGCGTTCGATTGTCGAACCAAGCAGGTCATAGCTAAATATTATCGGTTGTTGTTTTTGTGAGAACGTAATAGCGAAGCATTTGGCTGGGTTCACTACCATTCTGTTTAAACTGCACCAACTAGCGAGTACATTCAGCTGACGTTGAAGAAACTGACAGTCAGCAATGGAGCAGATTTGTAGGAAGATTTTGAGGTCATCTGCATATGATAACCGTGGAGCTTCGATGACCAGATGCACGTCGTTGAAGTACAGTATAAAAATCAACGGTCCCATGTGGCTTCCCTGAAGTATACCTGATATGGCGAAGAAGCTAGCTGATCTGCAATCTCCTATGGCAACCTTTAGTTGGCGACCGGTAAGATATGATTGAAACCAACTCAAAAGATTACCGCATACACCGAGTCTGCCGAGTTTAGCAA